ACCCTGATGAGGTAACGTCTGAAATGGCAAAAGATCGCTGATAGACATTAAGGCGGTGTCATTTCGGGACTCTGCACCACCTGAGCCTGAGGTACTCTATTCCTGGCTCCATAGTAACACAGATGTCCAATCAACGTCCAGAGAAGTACAACCAGATATGATTATTCAGTCATGACATGATCTTTTGCTCGGGAACGTAAAACAGATACTTCATTATTACGGAAAGCTCTTTGAAAACTTCAAGATTACAACTAAATATAACAGCAATTCAAATGCCCCAATGTCTGACTATTTGATGATGATGCATTTATGTACTAGTAGATGCCATACTTTATACCCTGTACAATAGTTAATATGTATTCTATACATTCTGAGCAAAAAGTCCATTCCCAGTTTACAGACAATTGGTGATATGTTGCAACTTTCATGATGTGATCACGTTGACATAACATTTCTCATTCTGATGACAAGCGATTTCAAAATAGCAAGTCTTTATCATTGCCATCTCCCCTTAAAGTGCATGTCTGGACGTGGAGTAGCTTCTAGACTGAGACTTCCGTTCCTTATCACCGTGTTCCTCGTTCCGTAAGACCGTGAGATAGGAAGGGTGCCAGACCTGAGATTTGAACACAATCCTGTACGAGCGGAAGAGCCGGCTCCGTCACGCCGGCAGTGCTCAGGAGATCTCCCGGGGACCAGGACCGAAACAATCCCGTCCACCCGCCCGCGCTCCTGGAGCGTGAACGTTATTGATCGTCGACAGATGTGCGGCTTCCAGAAGTATAGGGGAGAGAAGGTTAACGTTAATCGTTCTTTACACTTCACTGGAAGCCTTGATGACGGATTTGTTAATCTCCTGTTGGAAGGTTCCATTGGTAGCAAAAGTTTGGTGAGTAATGATAATGTTGTGACAAAGTCTGTAGCGAACTGTTGGAACACTAACCACAAAATGACGTGATTGCGGACACACCTACCGCGCCATGTTTTCACCTCCAGGTGTCCCATTATTTCCGGCACAACGGCACGCAATTATTCTGTCCAATTTCTTACATTCACACGGCTCATATTGAGGCCAAGCTCAACTCGGTTAGGGAGCCCCCGTCTGGGGATGGAGTGCACAGATCACAGAGGGTGAGATTCAATTTAAGGACGATCGATTCTTGTGCCGTGGCCTCCAGTTCTAATTACTTTGGACTCCGCGGTTTCCGCCATCTTTGATTCTCACTAATAGGACAACTGTTGGACAAAATATCCTTCCGCTTCGGTTTGAATAAAGCACTTAGAGAGAGACTTAAACATGGTTATTTCCACGGCGACCTCTTTTCTGAGGTGACCTCACAATTTTGGTTCCATTTTGATGAGTTAGGCGTAAAGCCTACACAATAACACACGTCTTTGTGGTGCTTTGTTGAAAATAAAACACTGTCATGGTCACCATGGACGTAGCAGAGTAGATTATTAGTACAAATGAGTTTCCCACTCCTGTAACCACTTAAAAAGAGTGTAATCTATGTAACATGCAATTTATCTGTCCCTTTATATCGAGTGTTCACGAGAACTACTTGAAATTCAACAACTGGGCATCCTTCACCTTACATGTATATCATTATATCATCATAGAAGAGGCAGATTCTAGACCAGAATCCGCGCCACTACTGCCGCTGCACATGAGCATAATGAGACCAGCAGGTTATCTGTACATTACTCCAGCGTAAATTCCATCCTTGCAGGGATTACTGTAACATCCCAGTCAGAGCCTCTGGGGACGCTGTAGGGATAACATGCCGCAGGGAATGTTGAAGATGTTTCTACATACACGCATTGCCACATCATTCTCTTACGCCCTAACTTAGCACTTATCGTTTTTATCAATGAGCAGAATACCTCGTGAGTGGGTGGCAGTAAAAGTACCCCGAGGCCAAGTTTTAAGTCTTTCTGCACTTAGATATTCAATACAATTCGATAAAAGTACATAGCCCTAGTCCCGGATTTGGTCGGAAATGTTTGCCATATTTTATCCATAACGCTGCATTGGGTGCCGCGATGCCCAGGAGGTACCACCGCGCCTTACGCTGCACTTTCCAGTGAGTGTGCACCTGAAGACACCGTTGTAGTCGTAAATTAACTGTGCTGACCTTGGCGCTGTAAAAACAACGGGAATCTTGAAGACCATCCTGGGAAAGGCAGGCGCTCTTGTCGTAAGTCTTATCTTACAGGTGGTATTTGAGTAAAAGACTGTTCTGATCTTCTCAACCTTCACTGGCTTCAGCTAGTTGTATAACATGCATGGTATGCTTTAAATCATGTCAATCCTGTCAAATATGGCATACTTGCCAACTCCGAGTATTCCCTATGCATTATGAATAGACGTGAATAAAGTGGACCCCCATGTAGAAGGATTCCAACCTTATTCCCATACTCACCAAACTCCATCAAAGCAAAGTTCTGTTACTCCTCTGAGTGACTGGGTAGGATCCTAGCAGCTAGCTAGCCATACACGTAGTTGGTCATTGGCTGCTAACAAAGTTTCACTGAATACCAAAAGTATTTCCTTGCCCGTGGACGATATTGATCTTACTTCACACTCCCTCGGCTGGTGAGAGTGAGTGACACCTTCGGCATTATCGGGAAAAGAGGTGGAGAACAAATGACCGATTTATTACTGCTCTAAGAGATGTGCTAGTAGCGCCTCTATATATATTCAAATGTCAGGGTATGTTCGATTTACGACTTGACTATGCAGCTGAAAGATTTCAGACAGCTTGAGGAGTGATTTCATGTGTAAAGAGAAGTCTGGTGAGCTGCCCCTGTATATTATATACAGTACTAATGCACTTGTCCTATTTTGCACATGTCTACGTCTTTTCCCCGTCTTGCCCTTTGTTTGCACTCACAGTTGATAAAAATGGCGCGGCTGCTAGTAATCCGTTGTCATTACAGGCTAGTAGTAGAGAAGAAGATGAAGAAGAGAAGGTGTAGGAAAGCTGCAGCTTTTCAGTCACCATCCATGCACACAGGGCTTCACATGCCCGAACTGCAGTAGGATGTGCAGATCGAGAATCGGGCTGCATCGGGAGCCACACAAGATACTCACGCATGCAGAGCGGCACAACCTCCCCATTGATCTTCGGATGCGAAGAAACAGCCATCATCAAGGCACAGCAGTAGGTACTTGCCCATTACACGCCTCAAACTCTTACAACACATTGACTTTAACCTTCAAGTTCATTTTGGTCCCAAATGGACTTCCTTTACATACATTTGTAAAAGTAACACGAAGAAGAATCCCATTATCCGCACGCGTTAGTAGACTCTTTCTGTCGAATGCGTGCTTCGCCTTAGTAATAAGTAGAACTATAAATCTTACTGTAACGTTCAGGACAGTTGCACCTGCTTCATAACTTTGTTCGGCAACCTCTCTTTGGAATCATGTTAAGATTTACGGGTACGTCCTTACGTATGTGGAGTTCGCACACGTACATTAATGTTTTGAGATGTAGGACGTAAATCTAACCCGTCACGGACGACCGTAAGCATGGCCCCAAGGCTACTGATAGCTGATTTAAATGATGTAATGCTTTTTGCCTGGCTGAAATTGTTCTCTGCAGCAGAATTCCTATGGGAAGTCCTTTTACACACTATTGAGTAGATGGATGTGTGACAAATTGAAGTCTAACTCACTGCACTTTATAACCGGTTTTCCCCCGGGCGGTAGAGACATTATCATCCACATTTACAGACCGGCCGTTTATTAATTTCAGGCTTATCCAATTTGTTCCGCGACCCTGTGCGGCCCCGGCTCACTGGATACAAAATGCAGATGAGACGAATGCTTGCATGATGCATCTAAATAGGTTCCTTGGGGGACGGTAGGGTCGACCCGCTGGAGAGCATCAGAGCGAAGATGAATGGTCCGCCCCGCCAGGATGGCAGACGTGAGGACAGGGTGGAGGCAGCTTTCGTCAACGCCGAACAACCGCTCGTCGGGAGGAATATTACAACCAACATGAATGCTTTTATGAAGCATCATAAGACAATAATGAATGAAAGCTTTTACCAAACATAACTGAATGATATTGCCTATTCTTTATAGACGAATAAATTTTTGGCAGATGTAAAATGGCCTCCATATGCCTTTTCCTTATGACTTGACTAACGTTACACATGGCAATGGCAATATCTTATGATCTTATCATAATCTTATCTTCTTTTCTCTAAGTCGTTAATACAATAACTAATATGTTGACAGAACTGAGTTATTTTGCACTTACAACTTACATGTGCACCACCCTGTCAATTTTGAGATACATGTAGTAACAGTAACTCGAGTTCATGAAGAAAACTTTTTTTCTGATTGAGCCTGGCAAGGTATATTGAATTGAGGGAAAGTTTGTAATATATTTAGCTCTGTCAAAAGTTTTAGTCTCTACGTAGCGACGAGATGCCAAAACAGATGCAATTAAAATGCACACAATCAATCATCTAGTTTGAGATAGTGTAAGATTGTTGCGGCATGAGAAATCAGCAGGCATCACGCTGACTAGCTGTGATGGATGGCATTGAACTGTTTGCTACAAGATCCCATCAAGTTCTAGAGGACGTCATCAAAGACCCCCCTTTTCCCCTGAAAGGAAATCTTTATTAAAGATACATAAAACGAAATCAAAGTGCAGATTGTAATTCCGGCAACATCTTTCCCCAAAGGAAATTTCATAAGATAGATGATGTAAGTCGTTTGCTTTAGAAGATGAAATGTCATTGATAGTTTCTTTGATTTCAGTATATTCATCATTTTCAATGCAATCGTGTACACTGTCCCTACAGATGGTAGAAAAAATACTTTAATGTTAACCAACCAAACTACTGGAATATTTTGCCTAAAATACTCTCCATCCCACTCTGATGCAAGTATTAGTGTGACTAAGTCATGTACAATACAAAGCAAGAGACGTGACAGCGTTGATTTTAGGAAGTTTTATCATAAAAACATTTATGTCCACATTCACAGGAAATTTTTTACAGACCAGTGTCGCAAACGACGACGATACGATGTCAATTTATTCTCTAGTATGTTAAATCAAGGCAAAGATGAGCAGATCATCTAGAATGGATTGCTTCGAGTCACTGAAGAAATAGCAAGGTACTAAACAATGTACGTTCTTTTGTCGCTTGTACAAGGACATCCTGTTTGCATCAATACATGTCGAAATACCTCATGTCTTACACATAACTGTGATAGATCATACTAGCAGCTAGGTAACCAGTAACTAACTCCTAAAGTTTTCCCACCCCTGTCGGGATATAGACAGCGGGGAGGCATTTTTAACGAACTGAAAAGATAATGAAATTGTGATCCGGTATTCATCTGATGTCTTTCTTGAATTTACATAAAACATATTCCGGATGAGCCTTTGGACAAAAGAAGGGCCAGACATTAGTCCACCTCAGCGTTGTTGTGTTTTTGCCAGCGTGTTTTTCCACAGTGTAGCTTAGGTATGCCTCATTCACTGCGCGTTGTTTTTCCATGTTTGATAGTAATTGAAGCTTGTCGTGTATCGTAACCTTAAAACGTGGCAGCATATCCAGAAGATTCACCAAACTTCCCTCGTCGTTAAACGCTAGAAGATTCATTTCGCCAACTGTTCCACTGAAAATGATGTCGCTGGACATAAGAAACTTCAGCTCACTGGCATGTCTTCAACTGTATGCGTTTCTTCGTTCAGCGTTTGTAAAGTGTAATAAAAGTCCACACGTTAAGCCTGTTGCAGCATTGCGTTGATGAGGAGGAACTCTTCAAATGGCAGAAGCTCCATCACGAACATTAGGCTGCTTGCACTCTTGTATCACTACCACCTGAGCCTGGCAATTCCACAGTTTATGTTTATGTACATGGATGGTGATTGGGAGCCTCCAACATGTCGGCAAAATGACCAGATTCTCATCAGCCTTGATGACCAGAAATGCCGGCCCAGAGTTTTCCCTCATGCGGCTGTTGTCTGATCACCCCGCGATGCTCTGTACCGTCCGGCCCTGTCAGGGTCACAGGAGGCGGAACATCTCCGGTCTCCTCCCGATCTGGTAGGCGTCCATCTCGCTTTCGGTGGCGGCTGAGGCGCGTCCGGCTGGAGGATGTGTGAAAACATGAGACAGGATTGAAGAACTGTATTTATAATCAGCAAATTTCAAACTTAGACAAACAGCAGATCCCTAACATTCTAAGTCAGTCATCATCATTAATTTTACAACTGTAGATCTCGCCAACAGCAACAGATCTTAGCACCAGACTAACATATAATAGTGTTGAAGAAGTGTACCAACTTGGGACTGTTGACTGCCGATTCTTCTGTCTTCTCCCTCCGGCTGCTGACGGTCTACTGTGGAGTAGGGCGGCAATGGCTGCACTAACCCTGTTGGTGATGTGATACACAAGTATTCACTTATCCACTATTCCTATGTCATTAACGAGTACTAAGTATATGTTCGAATCTCAAATTGTCGTGTACGTAAGTATAGCTTGATTTCTTTGATGTCAACGCCGGAAATATAATCATCTTCAGTGATACGATGGACGTATACGTAAAATTGAGGTAAACTAGCAGATAAGAATCAGACTAATTTTTGTTATTTCTATTGCAGGTGATTTTTATGTGAATTTGAAGGAAGACACAGTGTTTTCCGTACCTGGATACGACAGCCCAATAGCCGTCCACTCTTTGTCTACTCTGGGGGGAGGGCGTGGCTTCAGCGTGCCGTTCATCTCATGGATCTCTATCAGCCCGTCTATGTCCTTAATATCCAGGGAACCCAGCTGATCCAGCTTGTTTTTATTGTAGCCTGGAGGAGGTGGCATCGGACGAGACACTGTCACTGATGTGGTGTCTGCAATGAAGCAACTTTGTCGTGTCTTTGGCATGAAGCCAGTGACTATTGCGTTTATGCCTTACCATGTTGATTGATTCATTATCTTAAGTTAAACATATTGATGATATCAACTAGATCAATAAGCATCACTTTCAGTTGAGCCACGATACGAAACATGTTTTACTTAAAGCACTTATATTTAATAATTAATAAGACGACATTACAGCAGGCTAAAGAAGATCTGGAAAAGATATTAAAGGAAACGTCGATGGAGGTTAGATAATGTAAGACTGTACCTGATTTCCTGTCGTCACCCAACCATTTCTTGCGAAAAAAGAAAACAAAGATGGCCGCCACCGCCGCCATGACAGCGACCATGACCGATATTCCGACCACGATGACCAGCGTGTGTGGTGACCCCGTGACCTCCAGCCTGAACTCCCGTTGGTCAGTACCGAACATATTCGTTCCCTTGCACATGTAGGTTCCCTTCCACCCTTCGGTAATCCCATTGATAGACAAGGTGCTGAGTTTGCCACCGAGTATAAGCTCCTCCGTAATGTCAACCCCGTTCTCCCCGCTAGACAGAGTTGATTCTATCCCCTGTACATCTCTCCAGGCCCACTGGATGGTCTTGGGTACCGGATCAGACACGATCTCACACGACAGTCTGGCTGTGTCGCCTCTCCGGACTGTGAACGTTGTTGAACGTTGAAGTATGTACGGCCTACCTGCATGGGTGAAGACAAGAAATCACCAGTAAAACTCATTCTTTGCGAATAAAAAAAGTAGCAATAAAACTTATTCTCTGCAACTGCCCTGAATACTTTAACCATAGCATATCTCTATAATCCCATAATGTATCATAATGCGATTGTATGAAGGCCTCTTTTCTTTACGACGCCATCTATCTTTAAGAGAATGGGAAATTTACGATTCTTTTGTCTTGTCTAGCACTGTTTAGGCGATTGAAGAGATACTAAGCCGATAGAGGACAATTGAAATAATGCCAACGATCAGTCAATCGTAAAATAATTCCGTATCAAGGATAGCTTTGAGAAAGAAAAGCACTTTACCGAGAATCTAAAGCACATAAATCAAAATGGATAAACCTGCCTCTAACAGGATCTCACGCTCAGAATGAAAGTTGCTTTTCTAATTTTTCAGCAAACCTTCTCTAATCCGTGTCATCAGGAGGCACCCAATCCAGCATCAATTAGTCTTGTTAGGATAACAGTTCTTTTAATCATGATTGATTCTGAACGGGAGACAATGAAATATCCGGCTGGTCCTGGTGCCTATATGATGGAATGCACCACGCAGCCCTGCTGTAGGTTATTGATGGCGTGGTTACAAGATTAATTTCCGAGCTGCAGAAGCTGCCATATTGAGATCAATATCACTTACTCCTTGACTTTTTGGGGAAGCACACTAACACGATGTTATTATTGTACGGCAGGTGCGGCAATATTGAGGCATCAATAGGTAATCTTGGCAAAAGAGACGCGAATAAATGTATCTAAGAGAGTAAAAAGTTATATCAAAGAAGTTATAAAATTGTTTTGTAACCATCTGAATGGTACATGGGATTAATAGAACAAATCAAGTTTAAGACTGGTAATAAAGAAAATTCACAGGACACCTAACGCTTTTAAACCTGTCATACTGAGGCACAAATAGCTATTATAATGTGATGGATATGGGCGCAGATAGCGTTATCTGCAGGTTTTACTGTTGTATGATAGGTCTTAGAAATACTGTAATGCCATCGCGGCCATGCATATTGGACCAACAGGACAAATTAACGTCATATACTTAGGATACTAAAGATGACTTACAGGCTTATAAACCTGCCACAATGCGGCACCGATCGCTAGCGTGAGAAATGCGTAGGCAAGTGGCACTATATTTAGAGTAAACTGTTATAGCATAGGTTTTAGAAGCACTGTAATGTTGCCATATCCAAGCTTATTGGACCAACCGGGCAAATTAACTTCATATGTTAAAGGTACTAAAGATGATTTACAAGACTCCTAACACTTACAAATCTGCTATACTGGGACACCTATACCTGATGTTTGCGATAAGGATACAGATGGCAGCAAAGGATTTTAGAAACGCTAGACTGGTGCTATAAGCATGGCTAGGGGCATCCAGAAAAACTAACTTTACGGGTTGAATTATGATACACCGAACTGTTGTAAACCTGTCGCCTACATGTATATGACATCAGGATATAAAAAGGTTGTTGATTTCTTCCATTGATGGCAGTAAAATTAACGATTTTGAAGTTCTGTACTAATGGATGGTATTACCGGAGCGAACTCATCTAAAGCTCTTACATTAATGGCATGAGTAGTGATGATTTAAGAGTTCCTTATCTCTTTAGCTGATGTAACTTGTGAGTGTATATAGTGCCTGTGGGGTTGAGAAAATTGCACGTGATTTACGGTCAAGATACTGGCAGTATTTTACTATGGTGCTAACTATTTCTTCGTGCTTTATGATGTGACTCTTTTCCTTCTGCGTCCAACATAGGGATTCAAACCTACCAACAACATCGACATATGTATCCCTTGTAGTCGCAGGAAAGCCTTCGTTGGTGGCCACGCATTGATACGTCCCCTCCACGTCATAGCGCACCCGGTGGAACCGGAGTGGGTTGTCCCAGTACAGACTTGTATCCTTCCGCCGCCATCTTACCCGGGGTGTCGGGTTGCCGCTTGCCGAGCACTCGAGCAGGAAGCCATCTTGTCCGTACATGACACTGACCTTGCTATTGAGGGAGGGGTCTATCCAGGATTGATCTGTGAATAGAAAATACATCTGTAAAGGTTTCTCAAATGGCACTTTTGTGTCGGCGTTCTTTCTCGATCAGATATGAAGTGGTAATCGCGTTTGTTGACATTCTAGACGGCCATGGCGTCAACCCATGGGGTGCAGACAAGGTTAGAAGCCATTACCATACCCCCCGATAGATGTTCGATGTAAAATCCGTCCCTGGCACCATGATTCAAAAGTACCATCCCAGATAGTTGGTATCCACGTACGCGAGGAGCGTGAGCAAGTACCGTCACTAATAACCAAGACTTAGTCATACAGGGCCGTCTCAACGATATGACATATTCTAGCACATGATCGAAGAGCCTCTCAGGCCAGATATGATGGCATGAGAATGCACTTTGTCATCGTTCTTGGGGTATTGCTGTTCGGGCCTGGCTTTTTCTATACTGCCGTGAAGTCCGTGTATCCATTAGGTGCGTTTCAGGCCTCTTGTAGTTTGACAACCTTTCGGTCTTGCTCAGAAGAGAAGCTACAAGAATCCACAGAACACGATAGAATCACCCTGCACAAATAAATCATGGTTTTGGGGTCTTGTGTTTCAACCAAATTACATTCGTTAGGCTCGAGTGAGAACTGTAATCAATGGTTCTATTATGTAACGCGTCTTTCCAAGTGATTATTCTACTACATAGACGATCAATCTATGTGGAATTTGTTCATTCATGTCGAAAAGTTCATAACCAGTCATTGACACAAACTTAGCTTTGTGCTGTTATCTAACACGAAGCTAAGGGAAGACATATCGGTAGATCTGCGATTTGCATCAGGCATGTCTCCTGAATACAGGCACGGAGGAAAAAAGATGCCCTGATCGCAGTCCTCAAACGCTTATAGGCACAACCTTATTTATGGTCAGAGATATTTCAAAAAACTTTGAATGATAACAGATTGTTCAGATAAGGTATAAAGATGCCGAAAAGATATATGACCTCAATATTTACCGCTTCCATCACAATAACCATGGCGAAAAGCAATCTAAAGGTGAGCCTGTGGAGATTGGTCGCACCAGGCGAGATTGCCAGGGGATCCCGCGGCGGCTGCAGAATACACCGCGATGGGCACAAATCTTCCTCCAGCTTTGGACGTCTTCTTAACATGCGGACTTCATAACGTTTTTATCTCTGATTTATGGGTTCCATCTTTGGTGAACTACTTCTTGTCAAACATCACAACAAAACTAGAACAAGATTGAACATTTGTGCTGACTCCAGCTGCAAAAGGCAGAATCGCAATGGCAACTCGTTGAACTGAATATTTGTACGCGCCCCACGTGGATTTTGGATCCAGTTGCTTGAGTAACTGCTGGCGTATTGTATTACCTGGATGTCTAACCTTCATCGACGTAACTAGTTGTTTTGTGGTTAATTGCCATCAAGAATAGACATTATACATGATATGAAAACAGTATGTTTTTCTAGCTTGCATAGCTGTTTTTTTCTTATTACACATATTGTAGAACCATGAACTTTGTGAATATCTTAGAAAGTTATACGCTGTACCTACAAGCTAGTGCTACTTATAATGCTGACTTGTCGTTTTCATATGAAATAGTGAATACTTACATAATACATCTAAGCTGACAGTTCCCAAACCAGGCGGGGGGATCTCGTTGTCTGCCGTGCACTGGTAAATCCCGCTGTCATGCCTGCTGACCTTTGGTAGAGACAACGTCTGCCCTCTGGGAACAAAGGCATGCCATTCATCAATCTACCCAAGCCCTTTCTGCACTGTCACTGATTTTTGCCAAAAAGTTATGGAAGCCTGAAGGACCTTCTTGCGTCTGGTCAGAAGGTCGCGAGTCCACTGGGATCTATATAGTTCAGGATCAATAAACTGTAAGATCTCGCAATACCTCAGGTCGCGCTATATATTCTGCTGACAGAGGGGTAATGCTTTCTGCAATGATATGATTTTACGAGCGGGATATCCTTACATCTTGATGGTAGGAGCGCATCAAACCCATCAAGCAGAGGGATTGTCTTACCGTCTTCCAATTTTACAAATCATTATTATGATGATGATCATGATGACAAATCATTGTAAGCTTTGATAACTAGGTCAACCATAGTAGCAAGCCCCAGTCTAATGTTTTATTATGTACATATGAAAAATCTGTAGCTACGTGACTGTCAGAAGGTTGGTCCAATATGCACATCCAATGTAAAGTATTTTTCACAGCACTTCGGCAGGACGTCCAATTTGAGATCATTTTTGCGCATTTAAGGATGACATCCTGTCTAAAGTTGTCAAATGTTGTGATATATAGTCAAAAACGATATGGCCTGCAACGGGCAAAATTCTGGTGCAACGTACGTTGAATGAAGATCTAACAAAAACCATGGAAAGTCCGGATTTCGTTCTGCAGACGTTCTACCGACGTGCTGGCCTAAATTGGATAGTGCACTACTTGCGCACAGACAAGTTTGACGTCACCTGTCATTGACGCCCTGGTTCAGGGTCCCGCCCAGTTTCCTCCAGGTGACGACAGCAGGCGGGTTACTGTCCACCACACACGTCAGGTTCACCTGGTCACCTTCCTTAGCACGTTTGGAGGATTCTGGCACGGTCACTGTCGGTGGATCTGCGAAGTTTGGAAAATAATATTTAAAATAGTGCTTCATTAGATTTCATATGCATCTATTGTTCTCTGAGTTAACTTAAGGACAGAAAACTGTAGAATTAGCAAGATAAAATCTCGACCCAAAAGTAAATAATGATCGAGAAGCAACGTTTCTTGTGTCTTTCGAGACTATGGTATCTTCATGCTGAAAACAAACCCGTCTCTCTCCAGTATTTGTCAGAATATTTTTCGAAATATACTGTCTATAAAAGAAGGCAATTACTTGTGTCTGAGCTGACGATTTTGCGTCTGTTACCATGTATATAATGGCCATTTTTCTGACTTCCAATGTAACAGTCGAAACACAGATCCATTCAGTAACAACATATCCTCCTCAAAGCAAAGCACAACCATCTCTCCAGCAAGCGTCTCCATTTATTGATTACTGCCTCCTTCCCCGTAAAACGAACAGCACTGTCCATATAAACATCATTGCCGGAGCACAAAACATTACAGTCAATGGGAATTGGAGACGCGTATTGACAATTCTGTTCCGTCCCTTAAATGGGCTTGTGATAAATAAGTACCATAAAACAGAAGACCTTCAACTTGTACAGTTAATGGATATGTTCTTAGATTGTTGTCCATTCATGTACAGTCTAACTGTGGGGTTGTGTTTCGACGGTATAGTGCTCGACTCGGAACCAAGAGGTCCTGGGTTCGAGTCCTGACATGCCACCGATCTAGTGCCCTTAACGCGACTTTTCCCACTTAACTCAAGTGAAAATGAGTATGGTCTGTCCTGTATGTGTTTCTATGTGTGGGGACAGCAACAGCTGCCTGTGTCCCATGTGTATTGTACTGTTGCAATTTCAATACATCAAATCAAACTGTGTATACTGAGGCTACTTACAGCTGACGGATACTATTTTGGATGCTGTCAGAGGCCTGACGACACCCTGGAGACCTTGGTCAGCCACGCAGGTCAGGTTGTTCCCGTTGTCCCACTTCTTCACTTTAGTGAGAACGAAATCCAGCGAGGTTCGGTCCATGTCCTGTTTCCGCGGAGTTTTCCCTCGCTTTAACAGTTTGGTCCCGTTGAGCCAGGACAGGGTGGGAGGGGGGTACCCTCCCTGGGAGGAGCAGGTGAGAAGAAGTCGCTGCCCGACCGGAGTGGGCCGCTTCCCGCCAACGATCTCCGGGGGCTTCGCTAACGGAACTGAAATCAGATCGGAATTAGTACAAATGGTTATTGTGAGTTAATGCTGATCAATATATTTTACAATCATTGATTATCAAAAGAAACAGCCATCATAAGTCATTATGGCGGCTGTTTCTTGCATGTCATAATCTGAACTTTGCAGTGGTGTTTCAATATGTTATAGTAATGTTACTGAGTATACGTAATGTATATATGGTGCTGAGTGCATATAATGATGTATAATAATAATATGATGAGTATATATGCTCGGTAACATTAGGTCATACTAGCTGAAACACTACTGCAAAGTTTAGCTCATAACACGCACTTTTCCACGGGAAGGTAACAAATTATGTCTATAGCTTGCAGGGATACATTTCGTAGCTGTCCAGTTGGATTCTGTCCAAGAATTTCTTCAAATGATTCTCCCAACACCTCGGAGAAACTTGTTTAATATCTGTATGTGGCCGCCTTGCGGGTGTGATTTAGCGTTTTTAAAGCTTGCAGGAATACATTTCGTAGCTGCCCATTTTGGATTCGGTCCAATAATTTGTCCAGATGATTTTCCTAGCACCTCGGAGAAAATTGTTTAATATCTGTGGCCACCTTGCGGGTGTGATTGAGACAGCAATATAATTGCTTTCTATGCACGGCGGCGTCGCCATTGTCCAAACGACCGTGATGGAGAGTGGGAGAGAATCATGAATTCGGTTCCAGTTATGGGGAGGGGGGCAGGCGGGGTCAAGGCCAACTGACGAAGGGCAGCGCGCTTGGGGCACAGATTTGTATAGCAAATACCAGCATTACGCAAGTGATTTATCCTGTTTCACGATTCTATTCTACCCAAAACACGTTAGCTATCGACGGGGCTTTTTTTCCTGATTGATTCTTGATGTTCTCATTATACTAAAGCTAACTTATTGCTGCGGGGTTTTTATTCAGTACAGTATTATGTGTTTACAGGTGCCTTAGAGAATACAAATTGACCATGGAAGCTCTGCGTGGGTGTCGTCCCAAAGTGTTCATTCAAAATAATTTTAGGAACTGCCAGGTTTAGCACGAACTATACCCGATCGATTTAGTAGACCAAAAATAAGTGCGGTGTAACATTGGTATATTCTGTGTATATATATTCCAATCATATTTATGAAATCATTTGTATCTATCCCATTATAGCTGCACAAGATTGCCCCATTTAGTCTTTACTTCGACGTTCATTTGAAACTTTATCATACTTTGTATCATCACTCCTTTACTTTGGGGTTCAAAGGCACGGCGTATGCCTGTTTTCTGCCCTCAGTACGTATACCGACTACCTGCAACCTCAAATTGAAGCATTTATTGAGACGGATGGAATTTCACATGGTTTCCAACAAGTCTTCGCACGGGGCAAATTTACGGCGCGGTAGAACGTGTCAGAACTTCCTGCTGCCTTGTTTATTGCGGTGCAGCAGAGTGCTTTTAGCCTGGGAACCATCCAGATTTTCGAGCGTTGCGGAGCGAAAATCCGGATGGTTTTCGAGCGTTGCGGAGCGAAAATCCGGATGGTTTTCGAGCGTTGCGGAGCGAAAATCCGGATGGTTTTCGAGCGTTGCGGAGCGAAAATCCGGATGGTACCCAGGCTAGAGTGCTTTATTACTAGGCTGAAATCCCGGCTCACCGATGACTGTTAGCGCGGCGTTGGGTGCCGCCGGCACGGAGGGTGTGCTGCACCGATAACCCCCCGCATCTCCCAGCGTCACCTCCCGGATCTGCAGGTTGTACTCCCCCGCTGACGTGTCCCCGATCACGAAGTGTCTCCCGTATCCAGCCGTCACCTGGATGGACAGTACAGTTACCTTTTTGTCCATAGGAATCTATGGTTAAATACACTGAAACAAGTCCCGATGAAAGTACTTTCTCACATTTCAATCTCAAAATTTCTTTTGCACCAAAAAGCCACAAGGGTCTGCTTCCCAAATATAGAAAGAAAATAGGAGGTTGACCAGCTCAAACTCTTACAACAGCTAGCTGAATAAACCCTACTTTTGACCTAATTTTGTCGTGCATCCATCCGCCTTGGGCAGGCCAGAGCTCATCACTCAAATCTCTCATTATGCCCACTAAACTGGTGAAATGAACAAAATTTGACCAAAATAGGACGATTTAGACCCTACCTGTTCCTTCTAGCCCAAAAATGTCCAAGCTGGACCAGAATGTTCAAGAGCAAAAGAAGGATTTTCAAAGATATTATCTAGGAACTACAATTGTCATTTGGGACTCAATGGTGGTGTCTCCCCACCTTGGTGCCCATGGAGATGATGCGGAAGTCGGGAGGACCCTCCCACACCACCACGTCCTCCCCGGTCAGCCCGCTGAACGTGCAGGGCAGCGTGACGGCCTGGCCCCGCAGGACAGCCGCCGACTGGGGCTGCACTTTGTACGAAGCGGCGTTGGCTAGGGAGAGAAAAACACAACATGGGTGTCAATTAGCTTTTAGAGAAAAAAAGAAAATAATCATATGAAAGTTTATTGCAAATCCATGCCCAAGGCAAGAGCCTAACTGCAAGAACATGATAAAGAAATAACTGTAAAAATGATAACAAGTAAAGCTAATGCTACTTTTGATATGGTTAATGTTGGGTTTGACTTCTTTTCTGTGTGCAGTGGAGTATGAAATTGCCGACATATTGCGGGATGTATGAATTGGGAGGTGTAATAAACAGGAATTGAGAACATGAATCCAATGGGATAAAATATACAAAAATGCTTGTTTACACGTTCGCAAGTATTTATCACTTTTTGCTCAATACCACCACAGGATCTACGTTATCATGTCATCTATACACATTTCATTATTCTGAACCATTCCTGTACAAACCCACATCTTTCAAGATTAATGTTGGTATTACCGATCTCATTACTATTACCAGAACTATATGATACTCTGGTGACAGCGGCAAAGCTCAGAAGATATTGGGTTACAAGAAGGGAGTGGATCTTCCCCATAAAACTTTCCGAGAGGACGAAACTTTGATTTCAATTTTGGAGGCTTTAACACATGATCAGGCTCGTGTTACGGACGGTATAACCTTTCTTCCATTTGATCACAGACGGAAAGGTCAGCGCACAGCTGATTTATGAATCTCTGCGCTTTTTATTGCGTAGCGATTGCTGCATGTCCATTACGAGCCACTCATCCCGCCGTAGACCCGATATATTGGCCCTCGTTTCGGTCAATATTGAACGGCAAACGCCACAAGTCCGATAGGTCCCGCCTCCATCCGGCCCGAGGGAGCGACTAGAACATAATCTGGCACTAACTATCTTCACGCGGGGATGCACCTGTTTATTAATACGGAAATATTATCACGGTTTTCTAACGTTAGAATGCTTCGCTCTGATGCACATCCGCTCCTCGTGTCGCCCATTGGTCAGATGTTCTATCCATTTGTCTCCAGCAAAAAATCAGGTCAGCACAGAAATCATCTATGCGGGGAAGGTCATTTGTACAAGTCCCGGCTCGCTAGTGTATAAACGACTCGCTCCAAATTGTTTTTGGTCGAAGAGTGATGAGGTCGATTGATTAGACCCCAACTGCGGTGAAATCTTTTATCCGGGAAAGCGGGTACTCGACATGAAGTATCTAATGGCGGGGGAAGAGCAGGAAGCCAGAATCGAACGCCATCAGATACGCCGTGAGAAGACAGACCATTCGTCAACCAGATTCCAAACAAAATTGAACGTTAAGTTGCAGAGCCGTTTCCTCTCCTTTGACAGCACGCGACGGCCGGAGGGCATGTAGGCAACATTGTAGCAGGAAAACACAATATACTTTGTCCCCCAGCTGCGCAGTAAAGCTACCAGAGCGGTATATTGTCCCCTGGAACCAACTGCAGTTCTCGTGCTGTGTACATATTATCGCCTCCGGGTAGATGGAGACTCCTGAGACTCAGGTTTACTACAGGAAGATGAGTCGGAATACCCGGCGTTATTTTCAGCACATGCCCGGCCGTATGTCACCGGCATGGATTAATGTACCGTACTGGACCAGACTGGACTTATAATGAGTTTCAAACCAATAACGTCATGAACCTAATCGTTAATAACCTCCGTCACGTTTTCTTCGTCCAGTAGATACAAGGATAAAACAACAACGGCATGAAATAATCTCTGATAGTCAAATCTCATAATAGCAAAAGTAGTAGGAGTATACGTTGATCCGCAAGTAGTTGTACGTTCTTTATTGCTTTGCTTTACCTTCTTTGACACCGCCCCTGCAAATAGCCTTCGGGCATGATTTTCCCCAATAAATTCATTTTAAATTACTTCTTTATTTGCTTAGTATTATCGTTCCTCTTATCATAATGAGATAATAATTGTAATTGTTCTTACTGATACTAAATACCCCCCAGTATGAGTGAACTGAACACTGTGTCCTGAAATGACTTCTGTTGTGTTTTATGCTCCAGTCTGGTTAGAGGAAACAGAACGCCGAGACGGCAGAAATCCATTACTGCCCCGAGGGTATGTATAATTGTACATGGCGACCGGCCTGCCGGTTCAAATGGTGCAGTTAACGCCAATGGGCATTAATGTTAAGGATAATTACACAATACGTGTTTCATTGTGCAACTGCAGTGTCCTTATCAAAATATTGTTGACTCAGTGAAGTTGCTTATTATGAAGTCATTTTTCCATAGCATTTAAGGTAAAGTTTATCCCAACCTTGGTCTATAGGACATTAAACACATCTTACCAGGCTCGACACAATGACTAACTGCGGTAGAAACACACACTTTACTGTAGGGGGTTGTACTGGGCATGTCATTATTGTTAAACAGTTATTGAAGGAAATCATTAGGGATGTATTTTAAACGTCACGGTATAGATAACTCATTGTGATTTTACAATGGACATTTGTCCAAACATTTCGTATATGTTTCAAAAGACTATAACAGAACAACATGATAATTATGTATTCCTGGCAAGTAGAGGATCTTGCATTGTTGAGAATCTCTGTCTAGCTCAGCGCATAACACCAGGCAATCAGTCACCTTTAGCCTTCCTGGAAGTTTGCGGTACATTTAGTCAGACGGCTTACAGAGCTTTATGATCCTCCGCAGCACTGGCACAAAAGGATGCGACAATCTCACAGGTGACTATCTCCTTCGGGTTTTCTTAATTCAGGAGTAGATCTCCTGAGAATAATAGGTTCTTAATGGGGCCGTGCATGTGCCGTGAGATACTGAAGTTAGAACAATGAGCGGCTCGGAGACGTGGCAAGCATTTCTGCGGATCTGACAGCGCGGTAACTCTTCAATTGTGACTCCGGCCCTGGAGAACGACCGGCTGTCACATCGCGTTGCCGCCCGTTCATATCCACGGCACGCCACACTACATGATTTATTCTATCTCCGACAGTGCGGCAGAACTTCCTCAGAATTCTGTAGATATTGGCATCAGTCATCTCAGAGGAGTGGAATTCCCCTGAATAAACTCAGACTCTGCTCGCTCGTATTTCATTTCCGGTATTTTCTTCTTGTAGTGACGCGCTCAACGTCAATGTACAGTAGTCCATTTTCTAATATTCGGAAGAACTCCCCCAGAAGGCTCAAAGGTCCACTTTTTATCTAAAGATCCCATATTTTATATGGACTGATTGGTATCAAAAGCAGGGATGGAATCATAGAAAAACTGGAATCGTGAATAAAACGTTATGTTTGATTTTTTTTTTAAATCCTCTCAAAAACGTAAGAAATGTCATTTCAGAATGATCAATTTTCAAAATTTTCCCGGGGTTGCATGCCCACGGACCCCCCTCCCCAGAAGCTCGCACCTACGGTACTCGCTGGTCCCTCAGACATTGGGCCCCCCTTCCTTCAAAATTCGGGCTACGGGCATGATTTTTCAGGAACACAGGCACGTATCGTAAGAACTGAGTTTGACGTTAAAGTCTGTAATTTTGATGCCGTTCCTGCGGTTTAAAAGATCACTTTCGTCACGGAAGTTTATAATCCGTCCGCCGAGTAACAACAGCCCACTGAGCCCGCCAGGAGACGTATGTTGTGACGGCACACGGGTTATAAGCACCTCATCCGTCAACTTCACTACTGCGTGTTTTGACAGTTTTGTTCTACTGATCCAGATGACTTCCTTCATCTAACGTCTGCGTTTGTTGTCCTCTGTCTATGACCTTGCTCCCCTCCCAGTCTATTATGCATCTGTTATTTTGCGGTCTGTCACAGCTGACTTGTTTCTTTGAACAATGTGATGTTGTTCTGTTCTACATCATTCAAATCTAAACGTACGTGATAATATCTAAGCACAGATATTAATTATTAGAAAATAGCGTGTTGAATATCACAGACAAAGCCACTGAGATGACGTGTTCATTGATCTTGCTTAATACATTTTACTTTACACTAAACCCTTGCTTTATCTATGAGAATGAAATAGTATATATATATCTTTGTTTTTGGCCTTAACACACGTATACATGTATATGGCTCCTCATTTTAGCACACCGGATCAGGACAACAGCCACTGTTTACAATTGCAAATAAAGCTGGATGTCTCTTCCCGCTGATAAATCTTATTAGACTGTCTGACTTGCTCATGGAGATGGGTTAACTCCTTCCCGAGGTGTAGGTCGTGACGTTGTGCTGGCTCAGCAGCGTTAATCTGTTCACCATTTCCCCCGGACTGTGTTAGCAGGGTGATTGGACGGGCAAGCATCCTGACTGCGGGTCATGGCTCTCTCGCCGTGACGCCGGGATATCAGTTTCCTGCAACTCTTCAGAAGCTCTTCGTGACAAGAAAATCCCATCTTCTGCGAGCGTGCAAAAACTGTCGGGCAGTGGGTATAATGCGATCCCACCCCCAGGGGTTGGTGGATAGTCTTTACGATGTCATAAATAGCGCTGTCGCGCCGTTCCAAACGCCAGAGTGTCAGGCTGCCGGCAATCTCCAGGTGTACCGATAACGCCAAAGTTTTTATGACAGATGTTTAAACGACCGTGCAGCTGCCTGGGTGCTGGTGGCTCAGTGATAAAAACCTGAATGGCGGTGGACATAAGGTCAGGTCAGGGAGCGTCCTGCCACAGATAGATCCCAGGTAAGCCGTCTTCACTGCGGAAGGAATTCATCTACAGGACGTCCACACTGAAGATAGGCCTCATAAATATGAAACAGCCGTCTTAACTGATGCCCGCGCGGTTTTTGATGTGTCGCCAATGTGGCAGCCCGCCTTGCTCTAAATGATGATTGCGCCTGCTAACAGTTACCGAGGCCGACATATCAGTGACAAGGTCTCCATTATCAGCCCGACAATTCTCAACAGCTGATGTTCGGCACACTCCGTGTGTTTGTCATGGCTTTTACTGCCGTGAGCACTGCTCACACTGGAGATGTGTTTTCATCATGTACACACACGGGGGCAACCGTAAGGTTTGGCGGGAGGTAGGGCGCGTGACGGCGGGTTGAACGCCGGGCGAATATTCCGCCTGCATCGCTGGTGCCCGCCTCCAGCTGGTGATTACGCGCCCCGTGGGACAACCGTCTAATTTTCTCCCAAACTTCCGGTTCCAGTGATAGATTGGGACATACTTATTACGTTCGGGAGGAGGTTTATATATATATACATAACGCCATGCAATGTGCTAGAGGCTGGGCGATCAGAAACATTTCACAGACTGGTAATATCGTCAGTGTATAGCGAAATTTCACGGGCATGCAAATTCTAACACCATCAAAAGAGTAGAAGTTATCTGGGGGAATGTATATCTGAATCTTACTGCTACCGTCCATGTTAGGTTCCTAAAGTTCCACGGCAGCTTACCATGGGGTCGTCAAGTTAATGACCGCGTGATATAAAACTTGAGGAGATACATTAAAACGTAAGGCCCACCTATCCAAAGGCAATGACGCTGGGAGCGCTCTTTGATTTTCGAAGTTGTAAAAAGCAAAAGCATTCTGCGATGTTAAGCACCCTTCTGCTCAGGCTAGCACTGTGTAAAAGGGAGCTTCACCGTGAATACAGAGGAGAAATTACTTGAGTGAAGTAGTTCTAATTGCGACGTGTCTGTAAGAGTCCCTTATCATTTATCGAGCAGTTGGAGAGCAGATTCCTGGGTAGATCTGGTAATAAACAAGCTCTAAGAACGCACTTATCTGTAGTCAATCTTACCGCTTTCGCATTAGGAGAGGTACGAGATCGATCGATGTTTTAAACGTTGTCAGGGAAACAGAAAGTTTGGTCAATGGATGAACAATTAAGAGGCCGGTTTGTAGTAAATTGCTTCAGAGTGGAAAGGACGATACACAGGAAGCACGCTCATCGAAAGATGGATTCTGCCCATTAAGATATTGTCTCTCCTGAAAAGTCAATTAATCAGCTTTTTCGTCTGGTTATCTTGCGAGAACACAATCTCCTCATCAGGTTTGAAATCGATACACCAGACCTGAGCTGGTCTACTCACAACTTGGAGCTTTCATCACAAAAAAATCTCATGTTTACACGAAGAAGACCCTTGAGTATTAACTCTGTGTTTATTTCGTACTTCATAACTAAGTAGGTATTACTAGATTATTGGCTATGGCTATAAGCAATTAATTTCACGGATGGAATACTGAGGATTGTTGGCGGTGGATTACTTAGAACTCCAAATCATATATACGATTTCATCTGCACTACTGCAGAGTTTTACCTACTAAGCCGTGTGGGTATTAAATAGATGAGTAGAGTAGAGTAGGGGAAACCACAGTTGGCGGGTTGGTTGTTAAATTTTTCATGGGCGTCTTTAATTTGCGCGTTCAGAGATCCGGGCTGACGGAGCCGCGATGCCGCGATGTCGATTGCAGGGAGAAGGGAGATTAATTGGAGTGCGCATGCTTCAGTTGTAGCCTTAATTAGTAACGTGGTGTGGCTGAGAAGGAAACAGATCGAAGAAAGGTCACCGTAAACAGTGGTTACGATAGAGACGTTGGTTGGCGACGAAGAGGAAGAAAAAAAATAACGGACTCGTTATTTGAAAAGCAGGCCAGGTGTGGTTCGATGTGGTAGATGAGTTTTGAGGGCGCCGAGGCGGTTAGGATATGATTGCGTACACGGAAGGAGTACTGATTTCTCCCGGCTGTGTGGAGATGTGTGACACGGTTGGGTGGGGACGATCCACACTTCAATTGGCGGCAGAGAGTCGAAAATCATTTCTCGGGGTAAGCGTAATGCACGCTGACGTAGCGAGATGTGTGCGTAATGTTGACGACATCTTCCAACATGTGCGGACTTCTAAGTAGTGCAAAACAACACAGAAATCTGCCAGATTCAACATGGACAGAGTATTTGCAGTACATTTTAGTACACCATAAATACAAGATAATATAGGTAATATAGGTTTTTTTCATAATGGCATATGGAGACGATCTTGGGCACGTCATAGTCTTTATTTACTCAAAGAGTCGACGAACTGTGAGATATCGAGGATGACACTGTCATTATTGGACAAATTCCAAGAGCGGTTTCACAGAATACTGATGCGACATGTCGGGCGTCCTCAAGGCGCATACATACATACATACACGTACTGTCGCATCGCAATATAACAGCGAGTTTAAGACACGGGGAAAGTTTATCCGGAACGCGAGCAGAGAGAGAGCGGGTAGACTCGCCGGCATCCCCGGTGTAATATATCAGACGTTAGGGCCCTGCGGCAATTTCGTGGGTAGACGCAGGTAATTCTCCCCGAGGGATTGACATGGAAGACAACGGATAGCTCATGCCGCGGATCCTACCTGCCCGTTCTGCCCGAGCGCCGCTGATAGAAGGACAAATTCTGCGAGCTTACACCACATAAAAGATACGAATAGAGCTTCTACATGGGCAAGTGTTGAGCATCAGGGCTGCCGCTACAAACACATAACAGTGTAACACCGATAATACACGGACAATACTAATGCCATAGCAAGTGCTTCGTGCGTACCATTTAGGCGTTGCCCTAAACGAACGATGACCTACAACACAAGTAAATGGGTATCGGGATGAGTGCTTACAGTACCCGTCTAGCGACTTGAATAGCATATGGAATTTTCATCAGCGGCGGTAACAACTGGAGCGCCTTCAGTAGCGAGGAGATCGCCATAAAGTCGCCCCATTTCCCCCCGCAATCAAACGATAGCCGTTTGATACTTGACCTGTGGCGGTACCACCCGACCCGTGCATTAATATCTCCCAGGGAAAGCAGGGCTAATCTAAGAAGACCCTCTCACCTCGCCATAATGAAGCCATCACGCACAGGAGCCCCGCCACGACACCTCGCCCACCACACGGAGCAGCCATCACCGCCGGTAACGCTCAACTGGTCTCGGGTAGCGGGCCGGTCGCCAGTCGAGCGTGCTCAGCTCCAACTCCCCACAACAGGAGGTCTTTCAACATTTCATTGGTTACCGACTTATCGTCGGGAATGATCGAATCAATAGTCACTTAGAATGTTCATCTATCAGTCGTTCTCCGCCGGGCCGGGGAAGCGCCGCTCCGGTCCGACCTGACGACAGGACGTTCTGCTGGAGAATGGGGCCGATCCTAGAGACGTCTTCGAGCTCTTCTCCCGCCCAGCCAACAGGTTGTACCCGTGTTGACATACGAGAGAATAGATGAATTTTTAACCATCTAATTACATCAGATGCTGTCTCCAAATTGGGAAGGGATGTTTCTCGGGACGGCCCTCTTGTCTGACATAATTACTGCTGCCTGGATGGCCGCACTGCGAGGCTGATTGCTCCAAGGCAATGTCAACAGCGCCGTAAAGTAGTAATTAGTGCAGCAGGATGTGTTTTAGTGGAAGTAAGTTTTACTGGGGGAAGGGCAGGCAGGAAGATTAAAAGGAGCGGCAGAATGGAGAGTGGCGTGCGGATGACCCTGGGTAACTACCGCCGAGAGTTGTTGTGCACACACGGCAACCCGCAGCACCTATCATGTGACAGATGCAGAATTACCATAATGAGCAAACCGTCAACAACACAGATAGATCGGTCCATCGCTGCAAATTTCATACACTTCTAACTCAATCATCGACAACAAAGAGAATAGCCTCAACCTCAGAAAAGCTCTTTTCATTCTAGTCGACTTACAATTGAGAATAATTACGTAAGAGGGAGCTGTGTAGAGCAGATATGGGGTGGTAGTTATGGGAGGTGATTATAGTTAAGGGCTCCGGTGAGAAGTGTGATAATTAGTTCCCACGCGTGTTTCACAAAGCACAACGATCTAACTACCAAACTAAAGCTCGTCTCTCTTCGCCAAAATCAATCAGCATTCGTCATAGTCTTTACAACTTATTATTTCGTCAAGCGGAACAACTTGTCATGGCTTTTACACAGACATGAAACTTTATGTTTATGGCCCTGGTTTTACATGATAGATATTAGATTCTGCCATGTACCCCTGGAATGCCGATAGTAATGGCTACAAGAGTGGTCAATAACGCATCGCATGATCTTTATGAACGACATTCTGGCGCCAGGAGCCTTAATGTGAGATTAGGAAGCGGTATGTCACCTCGTTACTGCAAACGGTAATCACGAATAAATAAATAAACTTGTAGGAGCTGCTCTGATGTTAATGACTTCTCTAATTAAGTGTTCTTTAAGAACTACCCTCTGTAAGTCCTTACGGTTTTATACGACATTAATCTGAAATTACTTTAATGCGGGGTATTAAAATATAATTGCCTAACGGAGTGGAAAACCACCCATTTGTTTTTCGCCACATCCGTCAGTTGAGAACCTGCTCGTCAACGATACTGGGGAAAAGCACCCGAGAGACGCCTGGTAAATGGACAAGGCGCTGTATTGCCGCTATTATCTCTCCTTTTTGTGCACTTGATTAGAGGATACACATGACTGTAGACCTACAAATCTCCCGGTATCGGCGCGGGCTGTACCAGTAAATGGCACCCTTGTGTTTTCCCGGTAGACTGACAAATAGCACACAGGCTCCAACACTTAGGGTGAAAATTGAATTGTCTAACTTTTGAACATTCATAAAATGAATGTGTAGAGCTTGCCTTTCTTGACACTGTAGCGCTATGAAATCTCTTTGATGTGTTTGAACATCGCAGCGTCTCATATTTTTGTGGTAGAACATTAAGGGTTGCAAGCCCACAATGACAGGAAGATACTACAAGATTGACAACATTTGTTCCAAATAACACCGTTTTGCCTGTTTTAAAGACACTTACATGTCGGTATACCCCGGGATACAAATGATAATTGACCACAAATGGTTCTGGAGAGAAGCGGGTGTCTTTGATTATAAGGTAGCTTTTGATCGTCTTACTTTGTCAGCGCAGCATCCTCCGATTATAGACATTAAGCTGGCGGATCGTGACAGTGTCCTATTTCTCTGTCGCTGTGATCGTCGATTTCTTCTGATTTGATTGATCTACTGCAGGCTTGGGTAGGAGTGCCACGCCCACTCTATTCCCGACTGAGCGCACAATGTAGGTGAATCTGCCACAACAAGGAAAGGGCCAACTCGGCCATCCATCTAGCTCGGATAGATTAACGAATCCATCAATTTTGTAATTTAGGTGAAACAGAAAACGAAATACATTTCACCATAGATTTAGTGTTGTGATTAGCACATTTCCTCGCTTTAAATATATGAATAGTAAAGAACAATTAACATTCCTTGCATCTTTCGATAAACCATTTTAATTAACCCTAAAGCCTCCTACAATTATACAAATACCAAGAAGCGAGAGGAAGCCGAAAGTACGAGAGTATGTCAGCTGTCTACATGTTATATTCCTTGTATGATCGTCAACATCTGACCTGTGCTTAGCTCGGCGGTTATCAAATGTACAATAAAGGTCTTCATGCATTGATCCCGAGGAGGGGCATTTGCAGCTCTGTCACGGATCCGGAGAGCTGGTGAGTGAAGTTGTGCCGGCTCGCGCTCGGGAGGGAGGCCCGGTAATGAATATGTTCCTACCGAGGTGCTGATGAATGCCGGCGCCGAGAGCAGGCCTGATGAATCTGCCTGTCGGGCCCGTCCACAGTCCTGCGCACCACGCCGCAACTCGTGATGGACTGTTGTCATGATCCCTTTCCAACATAGTAGAGCTGCACCAAAAAGCAGTATATACTCAAGCAACTGGATATGATTTTGGAAACGGTCAGACGTTTCAGGTAGTCTCAGACGTTTCTGAGAGCTACAGCATCTCAATGACAGTACTTTAAATTTTTGCTCTTTATTGCTACGAAGGTTGACGTCGATCACTTTCACATTCACAAAACTGTAGTGTCTTCGATGTACTTTAAACCTTTGTACTGTACAGGTAGATTCTCGTAATTGATAGAGCACCAACTTGTCTTGTTTATACTTATTTATTTTGCTTTACCCATTTTGTAATTATGTATGTATTTTGTCATTGTGTTTTGCTCTTGTCTTGTTTTATATGTCTTTCAGTAGAAGGCGTCACACATAAGAAACTGTGCTTCTTGCCTAATACTCAATAATCAAATGTGAATACAAAAATAAAACAACTCGTGATGGACGCCCGCATAACGCCTGTCTGTCAGAACCATTGCACACATCAGTAATAAGCTAGCCAGGTGAGCATTAAGAATTCATAAGGACACAGACAGTAGAACAAACCGGCGGCCACTGTGATGTATTGTAGGATTAAGTCCCGATAGGAGGGAGAGACGTTCAACAAACGCGTGTGGACATATTGTCGTTCTGAGGATTACTCCTGTCAGTTAGGCTTAGTTTTATCGTTTACAGATATCATCATTATCGACCGTTATTTTTCAAAATTATTACTTTAAGGATCATTTCTGACATTGATTTTAAAGAGGGAGTTTAGGAGCAAAGGAAATGTTCAAAAGTTGAATATAGTTTCAAAACTTGCAAACATCACCGTAATTTCAGCACCAAGGAGAGCTTCCATCCATCAGTTACGCTTAGTAATAGCGTTTTTAGATATAATGTTAAGCATCAGCCACCGTTACTTTTCAAAATTATTAGTTTAAAGATCATTTCTGACATTGATTTTAAAGAGGGAGTTTAGAAGCAAAGGAAATGTTCAAAAGTTGAACATAGTTTCAAAACTTGCTAACATCACAGTAATTTCAGCACCAAGGAGAGCTTCCATCCATACGCCCCAAAGATAGCATTCTAAAGCAAACATCCAAATGGATGGACGGTGTAATTGCATGCTCAGCATTATGTCTTGAACTTGCCAAAGTGCTTCTTTGATGCGTGCTCGGAATTTCATCTGACTCTGAGAAATAAATCAGGACTCAGACTGCCTTAGCGATTTCATTTCCAGGGAAGGAACTCACTTGGAAGACTCCTTGCGAGCATTTTACCCATTACAAAAGTAACTTGATTTGATTGTACTGGAAGTAATACGGTAATCGCCTGTTCTTATTGGATACCGTGCTGGAGAGGCTGCCCTTGGAGTCTACGTGAATGACATCGGGGTTGCTTTTCCATTACCATATGCTCATCGTCAAGTCAACTTCAGTAAGCCCACAGCCTTCAGATTTTCCAATACCAATGTTCCGCATCACTTATTTCTAACGCGTCCCTCGACCTTTGTCTTCCCCGCGGCTGTTTACGATGTCTTGCTCCCCCGGCCGTGCCCAGGCCGCATGGACAGATACGGACCCCGGCGTTTGGTCCTGAAGGCGCGCGACCTGACCACTACTGAGTGACTTATTTATAATAAAACTCAGAACGCTTGAGTGCGCGGGGAGAGGATCAGCGTACCGCTGCTGATAAAGGGACTTGTTTATGGTCTCGTACTTTTCTGTATCTACTGGGAGTCGTGGATGGGGAGATAGGGATTAGAGCGCCTTTAGGCCAAATCCTCCGCCCGTCTTGCTGGCGTCACGGTACTTGTACTTAGAAGTGCTTCCACCGTGAAGGAAGTTTGACGAACACCAGGGGTGATGGCGGAGCAGCATTTAATCTTGAGCAATAGTGCTTTGTCAAGTACAATCTTGGTCTATATAGCTCTAGAAGCATAGTACTTTATCCTTACGGTGCCAGTCTAAAGAAGAGAGTTAAGTCAATATTCTGTATCACGTAGAATAGAATAGAGTAGAATACCAGTCTGCACATAGGCCTTGTCATAAAATGCTTTGATTTACAACGCTTAGTCTTATATGTAATATTCACAGCAAAGCCCGTTTTCTGCCATGTTCTTGTAAAATGTCATTCCTGTTTTCAGATGATATCAATACACACACACTAAAAGCGCACTGAATGAAATCTTATTCTTAACGTCATGAACTCTAGTCCCTACAGCATCATACTTGGGATTGATCTTGATTACTTTGAGCAAACATACACGTCCCCCTTGGCTTTCTGTGCACGCACCAGGAAAAAGTACCATCACCTCTGACTGTGCGCGTGAGCTCATGTAAGTCTGGCTCTTTCTCGCTCCCTCGCCTAGGCAATACATCTACCTGCACCTTACCGGCACACCGTGATATTATTTGAACCATACGGTCTTTCGTCATGTCAAATAAACGGACCATTTAGCTTTACGGCTCCTGCCGGTTTTTCGGCGAGGATTTCTCGCTCGCACGCTGTGGAGAATCCGCTGCTTATCTCAGCGTGTCCCGGGTGTAGAACACTCTCTGGGTGGTGCCATTATTTTCTTCAGCTGGGATCTTCTGTAGCCCTCCTGGTTCAAGCTGCATCCGCCGAGTTAAATCCGTGGTGAGGGCATGTTGTGAGTTGATCGTGTCGGTAAGCCTGTGCCTCAGGCAGTTACGGATTGCCCGCTGTGACCAGGACAAGATTGCCGTAGGCATCGTCATTGTACATAATGTGCACCCTTTGTAGCCTGAGCGCGTATCATCTCTGTTCATCACCCGACATTAATGGCAGAACAATGCGCGACCATGATTCACTCAACTGCCAATAGGCAGCGGGGCGGCCGTAAAACGGCACGGTGTTCAATCATACTGTCGTAAAAACGTTCCCTGATGGCATATGGCTTTCATGGGTGCTTCTTGGTGTCAGATTCTGTTTGAGTCGCTTCTAATGGCGTGATGAAAACGCTCTTACCAGACGAGAGGATACCGATTCTTCAGCTGACCATCTCTAGGAAAAACTCTGATTTGAAAATTTAAACTATTGGTTCGTGTTCTGTAAATATCAAGCTAATTTTAGTTATTCCAGTGCATGGGGATAACAGATAGACCTAAGGCTGTGGTTAATCGTCGGTTTCGGGGGAAAAGTGCTTACATTTACATTATATCGATTTTCTTCGCTGAGACTTTGAGTGTTATACTTTGTCATATCAGGCGTTCATAACTTTCTATCAAAAATTAAGGCATTACATGATTAGATGTTTAGTTAGGCAATGTCAGTCATTGGTATTTCACTTGCCGTCTCTAATCTTTTATTAGGCAACTTTGCAAGCTTGATTCAGAAATCCGTCTTAATAGATGGAGAGTTAAGAAAGTAATTCCCGGCCGGTAAACGCGTTGGAATGTTTGTGCTAACCCGATAAAGATTGATCCGGTTAACCTGCATCTAACGAGCCGCGACGGTTATTAGCGATTACCGCGATTAACGCAGGGGTCAGTCAGCAATCCGGCACCTTCCAGGCGATTACAGCCTAAACCTGCTTAATCCTGTTTTATATTCAAGAGCAGCTTAAAGGGTTAAAGACACATGAACCTGCACGTGCGCGGACTGCACAAGGTTCCCTTAAAAGCATCCGCGCGCCGTGAACTGATGGAAACTACCGCCCGAATCGCCTGCAGAAATTGCAAGTTCGATACAGGGGAAGTCTGAAATTGGGCAAACGGCCAGCGTAAGTGTACTTGGGTGCGACCCAAATACGGCTTTGAGTATTAAGCCAGGAGAGCCGTGTAATTGGGATTCAATCTATCTGTGGCTTTCAGAAATGCTTCATTTCTTCCGATCGGGCAACAAAGCTGCTACGGCCGTAATAGTGACACTGACTCTCATTCGAAGTCACACAAGTTATTCTCCATGTACATATATTTGTATTTCTTTCATCGCTCACAACAATGCATTGCTTTGGCTATGTCTTTAAATTTACGTCGTCAATTCCTGTACTATACTGTTCTAATAAGCACACTTTGATGGATGTTTGAGCCTTAGAAGTTATCTGCTGCACAAGTTGGCGGATTGTAGAGTGTGTGACCCTGAGTCACCGCCACACCCTGTCACTCACCGCCACACCGCCATCTCACCGCCGGTACTCTGACGGCAAAATCCCTCCTATTTTTCATTTTGTTTCCAAGTGATGCGCCGATTCACACGCTCGAGTTGTTGCCGTTCGCTTGGATTATTGGATAGTACGGCGTGAATGTCATCATTACTTGATGAGTGATGAGATTCGCTCTATTCGGGGGGGACCATTGAGTCTTTCGGCTGGCGTGCTGAATAAAACATGGCGACCTGGGCCGGCTATATTCTCCACAGTAGCTCTGAGAAATTGCCTTCCATTTGGGAACAAGGAAAGTCCGTGTAGTTCATCATCAAGCCGGTGACAGCTCGTTTCAGTACACTTCCCCGGACAGTGCTCCATCAAACTTTAACCATCGATCTATTGTTCACGTAGGAGTTGCCTATAAAGATGCAACCTTGCAATTGATATCATATTAACCTCCCATTAACTATTATTGATGGCAGGGCGAAGCCAATACCTTTGCGTTCGCCACTGTTTGATCATCTCTAAGTTTTGTATCGACTTTTTAACGACTGGCGTTCGCGAAGACATGCTGACAGTGTTAAGCTTGGATAACTTTTAACCTTTTGAATTCTCATCTGGAGCCGTCTAAATGGCTTACACAGTACTAAAGTTGTAATCAGCTTTGCCGAGCTAGGCTCTAAAGTCGCTGGGGGGAGCCGGGGCCGCTTCCTTATCTTCTGTGCTCACGCGGAACGTGCCCTGCTTGCTGACTCCCGCGACGTCCCTCTTCACTCCTTGATTAAGAGCTGGGTTAGCGGGCGGCTTGGGAAATCCGTTCTGCGCGGAGCGGTAATCCCCCGTCGGCCCTAGCGCGGCCACAGCGTTAGACATGGCGGCCAGCCTGGCCAGGAGTTCGTCCGCGCGGTTCGCCTCCTCCTCCTCCTCCTTAGAGCTGCCGGAGAACGGCATGCTGAGCGGCGGCAGCGGCGCCGGAATCTTCCCCAGGTCATCGCTGTCTTCTCCCTGGGAGGACGCGCTCTTCTTGTCTCCTTTCCCGCCGCAGCAGGCGCTGAGAAGTCTGGCATAGCAACTTCTCTTTACCTCGGCTGAACCGCCGCCATCTTTCTCCTGCAAGGAAGATAATCAGATTTAGTCTTCTTTTACTCTTTTACTCATCTCATCTGTCCTCCTTTCTGTACAAGGCGAGCTGTTTCTAAAACAAATACTTTGAAAGATAACTCACAAAAGTTGAAATCTACCAATGTTCTTGAACATTTTAAACAAAAACAATAGTGCTGTATTTAAGGGGTGGTAAACATCAATCACAATCAAGACACAATAAAGATCTAATCTCAACTCTCTAAATCCAAAATCTGTTTCTTTATTTCTTTTTAAGTCAGAAAATCCCAGTTGATAACTTCTGCCCAACTATAGCCATTTCGTTAAGTACTCCAAATACTAATCTCCAAGCAGATCTTATTATATGGTGGCAAAAGACAGTATCAAATTGGCCAGGCAGTATCCGTTGGCCAGAGACGGTCCAATAGACCACCCGTTGAAAGCGGAGCAATTTGCCTGGCCAATTTGATACTGTCTTTTGCCACCTTAGAATCTGCTTGGAGATTATACAAACACAGTAAGACTGACCTTGCGATCACGTGCCCTCTGTGTCTTGTAGACGATGAGTTCGACCAGGGCCACCAGGACGCCGAGAACAACAGCGGCCCCCACCACCCCGAACATCGGAGCGAGACCGTCCGGGGCCAGCACCTGCATGGCCGTGGCGTCCTCCCCCGGACACTGACGGGTCGGGCTCATCAACCACTTCATCTGCAGCTGCTGCAGGGTGCCGTCATTCTGCATACTGGGGGAGGGGGAATCGGGGGGTATTTATTTATTGTTGATAAGAGAAGTTTATTGCAAACCTATCTCCGAAGGCTAATTGCAAGTTACAAACATAAAAGAACATTGAAACAGAGTATAAAATAACTTTAAAATCTACATAATGAAAGGTAGTTGTCTAAATCTATAGCTATGTCTAAAACTAAGTCTGAAGGGTTTGACTTCTCTTTTGTAAACCATGGAAGACGTAATAGTCCTACCTTTTTCAAAATTTGTGGGTTTGGGGAAGTTAAAAGAAGAATAGGATTTTCTTTGTAATTTTGGACATTGGGATACATTGTAGAAGTTTTTAAGTTTAAACTTTTGTAAGTTTAAAATACAAAAATAGGTGCAAAACTTGGAACACGTTAGTTTACATCATACAGCAGTGTGTTGGATGAAGAAAATTTACTGACTATTACATTGCTTACAATGAGAAAGCCTATTTTCTCTGGACTAGAAATGAAGAAAAGTAGTTTACTGACTAGATTTGCTGGTACGATTGCTTTCTTTGTATCGTCAAACGTACAAATTGTCCAATATATATGGATACATAGCCATGAAAAAGCAAAAGACAATCTACATTTATAGGAGCAATTCCTCTGCGTAAACTCGTACATTTCTACAATCACCACTAAGCCAGTCTAAGCCCCAGAGATCTCGTTATAACGTTTCAGCAGATAAGCCTATTTACTTGTCCGAACGAGTACTTTGTTGAAGACTTACTCGATGATTATTTTATCGAAGATGTCCTTGAACACGGAACCTTTCGGGAGGGGCAGGCCCAGCTCGTAGGGTAAGAAGTAGTTTCCCACCGTGCGCAGGGAGCAGTTGTATTTGTCTCGATAGTCAAACTCCACACGAGAGGATGTGATGAAGGCGTAGCTTTCCTAGAAAACAACGGGAGGGATCTTGTTAGGTAAAACATCAACTATACCTTTCCTGAAGAAAACATCAGGTACCTATAAGGTATGGCTTTACTAGAAAACAACAGGAGTGGAGAGATCTTGTTAGGTAAAACATGAGGTATAGCTTTCCTGAAAACAACATCAGTTATCTATAAGGTATGGTTTTACTAGAAAACAACAGGAAAGATCTTGTTAGGTAAAACGTCAACTATAGCTTTCCTGAAAAAACAGGTACCTATAAGGTATGGCTTTACTAGAAAATATCAGGAGGGATCTTGTAAGGTAAAACGTCAGGTATAGCTTTCCTGAAAAAACATCAGGTATCTATAAGGTATGGCTTTACTAGAAAACAACAGGAAAGATCTTGTTAGGTAAAACTTAGGTGTAGCTTTCCTGAAAAAAAAAACGTCAGGTCTCTATAAGGTATGGCTTTACTAGAAAACAACAGGAGAGATCTTGTTAGGTAAAACGTAAAGTAAATGTACATAATTCCATACATAGATTTCCCGAAAAAACATCAAGTATCTGTAAGGTATGGCTTTCCTAGGTAACAACAACTGGTATCTGTTATTTTCTTTTTCGACACGACTTTCCTAACAAAACAACAGGAAACAACAACAGGTGTAGGTACGAGTATCTGTTAGGTATAGCTTTCCGAGAAGAACGACAGAGATCTGTAAGGCAAAATCTTTCCTAGAAAATAGCAACAACAGGAAAGTGTAGTCTGCAAGACATAACCGCCATAGGAAAACTGTAAGAACGATTAATGTGCACAGAGTCAGCAGAGAGTCACTTCTATTTGTCATCATTATACCTTCCACATACAGACAACAGACGGCCTGGTAGACTTCACAATACATCACAATTGCGGCATACTGCCAGAGTCATGGATCTAGGTACGGTGCTGCATAATACAACACAATACATTGCAATACAATGCAAACGGGATGTCAAATATCTCAATACAGAGATAAAGAGTAATGATCTTAATTAGGATAATATTCATGGAAGAATCATTAATAATCAAAACAGAGTGGAAGACGATCAATATTGCTCTCTCTATATAGTTCCAGCCCCGTGTTCATGCCTTGATTCTTCCCTTCAACGCTATGCCAGTACCTCGGCTACAACAGAGAGAACACTCAGATCAAACGGAGTGTTGCAAACAGGGAGTATATCGAGACGAAACATCTTGGCGACTGGAAGTAGCGTGAAGAACTAGCACCAGTCGATTGGCAGCCTGTACAGAAGGGAGGAGTGTTGGCTACGAGAGATACACTACGATGCTTTTAGGCGGAAAATTGCTCCCGCTTTGGCTAATGCCCAGAAAATTGAAAGGAGTTCTGTCTATTATCGCCGGAATGTCTACCCCAGGCGGCCCTGCCCCTGATCTATTTGTAGCAGTTCACCGAGACCCCGGCCCCGCTAATTCAATTAAAGGGACAAACTAAAACGGGTTATCTCTTGGGCAAACTAAATTGCGGTAAAGTAATGAAGAATAGACCCGATGCTTTGTAAAAATTGACCTCCTTCCCCGGAGACGTGATGCTTAAAGGTGCGTGAAAGCCGCATTTTGCGCACGTAAAGGCACTCATCCAGCACAATAGGCACGCTAGCCGCTAGACTGTGACGTTCCGACGTTTTTGTTGTGTTGAGGTGGTTAATAGGTGTGAAATTGGATGGACAACAGAGAGACTACGGCGGACTGACTCACGTGGGTGCCGGCGAACTTCCCGCCGTCGCCGCACTGATGATCCCCCATCACCTTCCTCATCCCCACAGCGTTACTGTCCACTAGGTTCCGCTGGTTCTTCTGCAACAGGAATGTAACATCATGGCTTAATACACACACACACATTCAGTGTTTAAAGACAATGTCTAGATAAAGGTTATTCCTATCGCAAATTAGCAACTGAATCTTTCCTTTTTATCGAACAAAGAATATGAAAGACGTTGTATGTTGCTCTTGAATGGACCTATCACATTATTACGTCGCAAAGGTGACTGCCCTCGTCAGTAGCTGTAGAAAGATGGTGAATACCGTCTAAAAACTTCTAGCTTAGTAAGTCGTGTGTATCAGTCTAAGTCCTTCCTATGAAGATGAAGAACTTTTCGACCATTTTGAGAACATTGTAGGTCGGTCTAACTTGGCATTGTAATGACATGGTAGCTCTAGCCAAAGCTGGGGGAAAATTCTCTTTCTTAAGATCTTCCAGTGTGTAAAGAACACGCTGGAAATGTTCAACGTTAAGTCTTTACAACTTATATTTCTCCCTTAGGAATGGAAATCCCATGCCCTGTGTAGACCACATACGTACACAGCTCACTGCACCACCGATGCCTATTCAACAGGACAGAACTTCTAAAACGCAAAGCTGTCTTTGCCTTAAGCCACTGTAAACTCTATCAGTACCTAAAAACACGGGATTAGCCATGTCACTTGCTACATGTACCCTGTAAATTAACAGGATTAAGCACAGCTGTAGGGCCTCGGGGAGAGACTTTACTTTAAAGGTTGGTTCTAAGCCGGGTTAACCTCTCCTTATTATGTAACTGCGCGGCTTGGAAAGTATTACCTGTGGCATATGACGTCATAGGTGCACTGAGAGTTTATGTCTTTGGAAATTAATCTATATTTGATGACCTTCAGAAGAGTTTCTTAATGCATATTATACCATGTGTTTAAATGATGAGCACGATTGTATTTGAATTTTTCAAATGCAAAAATCCAACATGATTTGGACTGTTAGTATAGTAGACAAAAATGACAAACCCTTCTTTAAAAAAAATTATGTGAAACGGCTAGGTTGAATACACAGTGAAGGCAATAGGAAACCTTCCTCAGACTGTGACATATCCTCCGGCTCTAGGGCGATGTTAGCTGTACTGACACGGCTCCAGTAGGGCTGCCCTCCCGGCCCTACAGTCAGACCAGTGTACCCTATCTGCCACTTACGTTATTTTTTACGTCCGTTGTGATAGTCACTGCTATCGGCACAGACGTAAAACTAACCAAGGTTCCGCCCAGGCTAATAACAAAACACGCCAAACCCGGGATTAGACCAACTTTGGCGCCAATCGACAGCCAGCAGGTGTCGACCCTATTACCGTCTGGAGGAACTCGATGCTTACTCCTTTTCCTGCGCTTTTCAAATGTCTTTTCGGGTAGTAAATAGGATTAGGTTATCAACGTTTTGCCGAGGGTTAGCCGGAATCGTTAACAGTTGACGGCGTGGCGACGACGTCCCGTCCATAGTAATCCTGGGCTTATCGGCTGGTGCTTGATGAGTGTGCTGATGAAGTTGCAGGGTTATAGCCTTCAGATGGTATCGTGTGATGTTTCCTCTAAATGTGTTACAGTTCATAAGGTCACGAAAGCCCCGTTCACTCACATCGTACGGTGTATGTAGTCTCCACCGGACTAACAACGCAGCTTCAAAAACAGTGAAATTTAGCCAAATACGGAGCCAAATTGACCAGGGGAGTTTCTCCACCGTAGAGTTCATTTCCCCGCGCAATTTGGAGGAGGAAATCAACCTTCCCACAGTCTGACTCTCCTCGCCAGTTCTTCTTTTTTCCCGAGCTCTACGATCCGCATCCCCAAAGGAAGGCCTGGTGGAGGCTACGATGCTCCTACGATCGTGATGTACGTAGGTTTGAGAAGAAATTGGTGCATTTTTTTCTTCTCAAATCTACGACGTACGATAAGGTCGTCGCGAAAAAAAAAGAAGGTTCATCATACAATGTGGGTGATGCCTAGGAATGTTGTATTTCCTGTTTCCCGACCGCCCCTAGAAAAAACTGCCGACCCTAGACTTTTTTTATGAGCCCCTGCAAGGAACATGAATTTTTCGAGCTGATCGACCTTTTCTAGTTCCATGATCTGACACCTGAGTGATCAAACGTTGTACAATCAGTTTTCCAACATTGACGTTGAAAACATACATAAGATCACTACTAGACAAGTAAAAACTTAAAGAAAAGAGAACCCCTACCTACCGACCCTACTTTTTTTTACTAAAACAGGAAACACAACATTTTCCCCTAGGCCTTACCCGAGTTTTTTTTTAACCAAGCTCTAGGCAACCTACCTTCATGTATCGCCACATGGTTGCGTACGGCTCCGTCTCGGTGTTCTTGAAGAAGTTGAGCAGCGGGGTGATATTCCTGTTCAGCCCGTACGCGATCTTGTTCTGGAAGGCCAGGTCGGACACCGAGTTCACCTAAAAAACAAACCAAACCACGCGTTATAGTATTTAATCGTAGTAGATTTCCACCGTTTCAACGGGAATACACTCACTTCCAATCATCGCTGCACAATGACAAGATGCATACAAACTCCACCACAAACTGTCACCACCCAAAACAATATTTCCGTCCCGGAAGTAACGAAATCTCATGCAATGACAGAAGATGTAGATAAGGAACAGCATTTCAAAGAGGAATCCCAGATAGGAAGAAAATACAATCGGCTCAAAGGCACTACTGGTAAATTGGTGAGCAGTTCAAATGTGTATTGTAAAAATCATCAAGCTGTGTGTGGAAAATAGATATTGTCGACCCCGCCAGCATGCGTGCACCACCCCTTTGGATTGACAACGATGGGTGCATCGTTAACATGTCACCCCTACCTTAATGGTATCGTCCTTGCTGAGGATAGCTGAGAAGGTAGACACGTAGTAGGCAAAGATGACCAGAGCGAAGAACCACCAACTTCCTGTGATGATCCTTCCACCGATGGACCTGTGAAAAAACACCATGTTAGATATGACAAAATATTTCTGTTGCGCAAAATATCCCCTTTTAATATCTTATAGAGAACTGGCTTTGATCAATTACAGAAAAAAAGATAAGCCATTCGTCCTCCACTGCTACCAGAAAAATAGCCAAACCCAACAAATTTTGGTGTAGAAGTAGTCCACACTTCGCCATTGTTTTTCATTAAACCGTGTCTTGTTACTCACAATTAGCCCTCGGGTAAAACTTATTTCCAATAAACCCATTATCACATTAAAGGATTCCTGGAGCTTAATATTCTTGTCTGGATGAGCCGCAGATACGACTTTAAGATGCCCCAAGGCGTCAAGTCTCAACCTTAATGAGACGAAGTCTCCTGTCTCATGTTTCTCAAGACGTCCAAAGCACTTAATTGCACAGTTAGCAACAAGTTTAGACAGAAGTTTACGAAGTAACGAAGTTTAAGACATTTTCAAAACTTCAAAGTTTTTCTTTTCAAACACAGATAACGCAATTGCAATAAAACGTGAAATCGGGGGGTATTCTGCACCAAATTCCTCCACAATAGTAGAACTTTGCGCGCTCTTTTTGATTAGCTATGTAGTACTTTATAGACAAGCACGATCGCAAAATATCGCTATCCTGTAATCTCTCGCTTTAGGCTCAGATTAGATTCAGTCGTTATTCTATGCTATTACCAAGTCCTCAGCTTAGCAGCTCAGTTCTAATGATTGATAGCGGATGCTATCTGAAACATATGACATTTCAGAGAAAATGATTCATTAGCTTGATCTATTTTGTACAAACCTTGGGGATTTCTCCACACCCTGTCTGCAGAATGACGTCATTCCCAGCCAGAAGCTACCAATCGGACTGAAGGAGTCATCTCTCGTCTCCACCTCATCCTTACTGCGCATGCCCCACTCGTACGGGTCCAGCTTGTCTATGAAGTGTGACAGCATGCACACGCATGCGTAGACGACCAGGATGTAGGCCCAGGTGTAGTTGCGCAGTGGAGACAGGAGAGTGATGGCGGGAGGGGCCTGTCTGCGCATGGTCACTAGGAACAGGAGACAAAATATCATATTTGATATTTTACATGTGGAAAAATATATAGAATTTTTTATATTTGTGAATTTGTACTTTTACCATGATTGTAAATGTTGTTATCAAATTGTGATTGTTGTAAATTCGGTTTTAATTCAGTGTTATACACTGCGAATACCAATAAAGCCATCTTGTACAACAGTTTAGAAATTTAGTAAAGAAAGTGCTAGTGTATAGCTTCGGAGAAAAAACATAACTGTTGAATAAAAAAAGGAATGAAAATACATACAAAGGGAAATAGCCATGAATTATCATGAATTATGATTTAACCAGTACTATTATTATTACAAGGTAAAGATATATACGGCAAATCGAAATATCTCTAATCCCCCCTCTCAAACTTTGTAATTGGTACAGCCCTAGTGTCCTTGACCCTTTAGCCTCGTAGCGATGTAATATAACATCATGGCTCAAAATGTCAAGAAACAAGAAGCAGCTTTGATTTCATACCCTAATCGCTCGGCCCAATAGTTACGCCAGTAGTGCGCATGGAGATTGTTTCAAGCTCGCGGGGGCAGCGAGTTTCGACCTTTCATACTTGAGAGTTTTCCAAGCCTCGTGTTACTGGGTAGATTCAATTAAGGCTAGTCTCGTGATATCCGTGGGAAGACAGCACAGCTGTGTTCCTTCAGTGAAGGTAAATCTTATTTCATTAGTTCACAACTCACAGCAGAATGTTTATTCTAGTCATGCGTAGGAAGGAGAATGGCGAAAGTACAATTGTGTGAATCAATAGAAGTTTTTTATTACTATTCCAACACTATCCTCAATATCCATTTTTGGTGTGGAATGGCCGACAGACTCGCTGTGCTAGGTCGCGGGTACGACATTGAGTCATTGGACAAGGTACAAGACTTCTCACTCCACATAGGTATAGCATGAAGTTGGTTTGGGAGTTCAAAGGCGGTAGAAGGAGAGAGATGGGCTCCACCTTCCAACACCGTGCCTTAGACACAGTGGATGAACAGCCCACTGCCGTAAGGGCCTTAAAAATCCCTGGGACTACCTTTACCTACCTGGCCTATCCTGTATCGATGCATTTCATGCTATTACAGTACTGTGTCACAGTTACCTGTGTATCCCAGAGTAGCGATGGGCCGTGTGATGTCCACTTGTGTCAGGAACTTCTTACGGAGGGGAGCTAGTGTCAGCGCGAAGTCACGCTATGTGAGAAAAAATGCAGAAAGTCAGTGAAAGATCAGACATTACAAATCATGGACACTAGATTTGAATAATGCAAGGCTGTGATAATATTGAGTGATCTGTCGTAGAGTTGACCCTGTGCAATTTTACACACACACACACACACACACACACACACACACACACACACACACACACACACACACACACAACACACACACACACACAACACACACAACAACACAACACACACACACACACACACACACACCACACACACAAACACACACACACGCACGCGCACACACACACACACACACACACACACACACAAACACACAAACTCAAACACACAAACTCACACACACACTCACAAACACACACAAACACAAAAAACACACACACTCACACACACACACACACACACACAAACACACAAACTCAAACACACAAACACACACACACACTCACAAACACACACAAACACAAAAAACAC